GGTGGGACACAGTCCAGCTCACAGGAAGCTCAATGTCAAATGCGTCCTGGGAATTGCAGGCATTTTGACGGCTGAAGAGATGATGAGGTCTGCTAGTCGGAGAACGCTTTATGCCGAATAACTAGACAAGTGAAAGAAAAAGACCGTGCAGTAGTCTGAGACGTCTGAATGGTTCGGGCTGGACAACACACTCCGGTGGTGACAGAGGGGGCATTTCCATTGAACTGATTCGCTGATGTTTGTTTTGAGTCGCACAAATGAAGTCAAATAAATGCTTCTCAGTCAAGAAGCAGCCGAATCTGATTGCGATGTTGAGTGATTGAAATTCTAGGCCTATACTGTGGCTCTTTTGTTTGCGAAAGCCAAATGAGAAGAATTAGAAACTGGCAATGAAAGCATCCATTTGAATATTGAAAATGAATGCTTTCAAGCTAGTTGCCACTCATTTCCATGACAAAACATCAACACGCATTGAGGAGAATCTCTGTGTCGCAGATGTCGCCGCGGACAGTTATCGTACACTCTCTCAGTGTCTACCGTTGCAGTAAAGAAGACTTTTGTAACAGCTAGACAAATTCTCCATAGAAATGCGTATTTTGTACTTTCCTCATCAAAGCTCATGGCAAGGTGCGTTATAGCACACCACCACACGAATCAATTTAGCATTGATGAGGCTAATGGCAACAGGAGACATTTCACCTTTATTAACCTGCTGCTCATTCAGGATATTGAAAGTTCACAGGTTATTGTGAGGACACCCCCACTCGTGTTACTTCTCCCAGACTAGTAGCCACACAAGTTTGATTCTTGTACTGTACATTCTCCTAAAGCTGCATGCCTCTTAAGCCTGCCTTTCAACTGGACCTGCTGCTACCAGGTATGGAAACATGTGGTCTTGAGGGCTTCTTATGTGTCAATAGTAGCTGCAATATAATGAATCCAGACTCTCCTTCACCTCTCCACTCAGGCAGAGACTTGAGGGAACATATTGCATTCCTGGATGATGATGATGAGTTTGTATTTTACCAGGCACCTTAAGTGTTGGGGATTTGCAACAATTAATTAGTGCAGTGTGTGAAGGATAAATGAATTGCTTCTTCACTCATTACAGTGAATGGAAAGGCTTTCATTATCAGAAGCAAAAAGGGAGCCTGTGAGTTTTTGCATGCGAAAGCAGAGGTGTATTTAGATGCCAGGGGTGGGGATGCTGCGAGCAGTGACTTGGTTTGTCTGCGTTCCATAAAAGGCCAGAAATGTAAGGAACACAGTGCTTTCAAATGTGGGCCAATACTCTGAGAAACCATTCAGAAACAATTGAAGCAGAAATATTGTCAGACATTTGGAAAGGACAGGGACTGAGTAGTTTGAGCATTGGCAGGGAATTGTTGTTTTTTTCCTGAGAGCTGTTCAAACTAATTTTTAACAGACAGCAACAATCTGGCATCAAGTGTATTGATGCACAGTCACAAATGCCTTGGCATTCACAACTGTCCACCAGCGCTGAACTTTTCTTCTCATATACCACAAGCCTTCTGGAGCCCATGACTGTTGCCCATGAATCACCATCAAGTGGACAGTGAGCTACTATGCAGTAGTACAAGTTGATAATCAGGTGCGATTACCTCATTAATCAGGGTCAATGTCTTCAGGTGCAGTCATAGGTAGACCTATTGCATTCTGTTAATTTATGTAATTGGCTCATAATCACTTAATTGACCCTGCTGCTCCAGTTCATTTAATTATACAAGGATTAGTTGGAACAAAGACCGACAATGGAATGAAACTGAACTGGCAGCAAAATTTAGCCCTTTTCGATTATTTTATGCCCTTGCTGGTGAAAGAAATACACAGGCTTCAGTAATTCGTCTCTCCCCACTTCCTTCGCAGTATTCTGTCCACTGACAGGCACCCTGGGCTGGAATAGATCAACTTTTCCACACTACTCAGAGAGCAGAACCCACATTTCCTGTTGCATAACGAATATGACTAGAAGCAGCTGTATCGACAGGCCTAGCCACTTTCCTGCGTGTCCTTAATTAGTTTTATTTGTGGTATTATGTAAGAAGCACACAAGGCTGATAGCATTTCCAATAATAAAACGAGAGCATGGCATCAATCAATTAACAGATAATTGCTATGTCTTTTGGTTGCTTATCTAATCTGCATATTAGCAGCACAGGGCACAGTGATCATTTTATATTACTTTATAATCGCAGTGTATTATGATTTGAATTGGCTTTTACCCCCTCCCTTGAGGATGAGAGCCAAGAACTGACCCTGGTCCTCATAGTTACTTGTGTGGCTGCTTCAGCAAAGCTCTGAGAAAAAAAACACCCTTACTAATGCACTGGTTCAGATTCAAGTGAAGAAAGACACGTTCTTGCTTCTTTAGGAACACTGCAGACATACAAATATTATCTGCTCTGCTCACAGCGGCAAACGAGCTGAATATTTCTGTCTCAGTGTTACCTTGTTCCAAACTGAAAATGGTGCAAGCTATAAAGCAAAGCAAAAGCCTAGGATATTTATCAGTCTTGCCAATTTTCTTGGTTTGTTATTTTCTGCAGGCGCGGGATGTTTGAACCCTTCGGGGTAAAGTATGTACTTTTGCAGGATGAGCTGAAAAAAATGAATGCCCAGAAGCCGTCTGTCTTTGCATAGCAACCTGACAGATCAAATCAGGGGAATTTCAGATTAAAGATCACCATTACGACAGCTGAAAATGATATGATCAGTAAAATCCCTAATAAGGCCTCACCCTGAAGCGGTTTATTTATTTGTGTGTGTTTTTACTGATATCATCTAGCAGCAGAAATAGTTGTTGTCCTATAATTACTGTTGGTGTTAAATGATTAACATACATGTCAGCAACAGCTGTTCCTGCCCACGGGACTAACCAGAAATAGACGGTTCACACAGCGTCTTCTCCGCGGTGTAAACACTGCAGTCCGTTAAGAAGCGCCGCACAGACTTTCACAGGTGATGGAATGATGAACAGATCACAACAGATCAACATGATTTTAAGATCCGTCACAATATTTCAGATATACAGGTTCTGCTTTCGAGGCCGAATTGCAATAACGGGGAGTATTGCAGTTCATACAGTGTATTTAATAAATAGCCTAATTGGAAAGACTGGTGTATCTACAGGTTAAAAAGACAAATATTTCAGCCTCGCAGGCTGTCAGGCTGGTGCTGATTTGTTTCGTTCAATGGTTACTGGTCCCTGGCTTGACACCCTTGGCAGTCCGTTTGCTGAACTCTACACAAAACCAGCGAGGGATGATTACTGGGTGGGAATCAGAGCAGCTGTTTCTCAGCTGAAGTCCTCTGCCAGCCCTACTTAGCTCTTCCTGGGCAGTCCTGCTGTGACGTCGCCTGTGGGAAAGCTGCGCCCCTGACCGGGAAAGGACTCTTCCTGTCACGTCCAAGCCCCAGACAGCTTGCCAAGCGTGACACGCCACCGTCCTGGCCAAGGTGCGTCGGCGACAGACACCGCGACGAACACAACACGCTAGAGACCAGTCCATCGTCCTCTCCTCCTCCTTCCCCTCTTCGTCCAAATCTTCCCTTCTCTCTCCTCTCTCAGCCTCTCCCTCTCTCTCCATCTGCATTTCTGCTGCTTCGCTGGGAAGCATAAATCAATAACCCAGCTAAATTCTATATTGAATACAAAACATATAATCAGATCATTTTCCCTAGTTTCGTTTCCATCACCAGACAACAGCCAATATTTGTTGATTTGCTGGCTTCCCCAGATTAAAATTTGATATCCTAATCAGCTGTTGCTGGTTCAATACCTCACCCTAATCACATTTTATGCACCTGGTGGCGAAGAAATCTACTCCTAGTTGTAATCCCTGGAAAGATTTGCATTGAGTCAGGCATTCATTCCCCTGGGGACCGACTACAATAAGTTGCTTTATCAGTCTAACCACTGAAGTAATGTCTTTACACATTTCTCCATTCTCACTGTATTTCCCAGAAGATTGTTCGGAATCAGCCGTGCATAGCCCTCGACCTCAGAGGTTTCGGAGCATGCACGCATCCATATCCATTCTCAATAACTGGTTAGCGCAACATGGGATCCCAGCGAGCTGGACCCCACGGAGGCAGACATGGGATCAAGGCAGGATGCGCTTGGGATGAGATGCCCGTCCGCAGAAGGATACTCGCAGAGATATCACATACCCTTGGCCACGTTGCTTTGGGCAGGAGGAGAAAACCGCAACACCCATGGAAAACCCACACAGACACGGGAGGGACATATTAACTCCACACAGAAGGCACATGAGGCTGCACTTAAACACAGGGTCCAAATGGTGTGAGGCAACAGCGCTAACCAGCACCCAAGGGACTTCTTGTACTGATCTACTTGCGTCTTTAAACTCCCTCCAAAAAAGCCTGTCTGTGTGTTCTCAGCCACCTTTTTCCAACATCAGCAATTTACAGAACACTTTCAGCAGCTTTGGCCTTGATCTGACAAATGCATTGTCTTAAATGAGAGCCTGGCTCTTAACACATTAAAGCACAGCCCTCCTGATTGATAATTGGGCCAGAAACGCACATCTAATATCAAAGAAGGGTGCTGTGCCACCTGATACAAAGCTACTTCTGCTTGGCTCAGCACACATTCCTCGAGCTTCCCAAGAATGAGCAACAGTTCGCGGTGTTTCTAATGCTCTTGGAAGGCTGGGTTCTGCAGCTCCTTTGCAATACAAGGTCGTTAATCTCTGCGAGCGCGTTCACGCGGCATAGAGAGGACACCTGTTGAAAGCCAGCCGCGCTCTCCGTTCACTCACACGCGCTGGGATCAACGTCGCCCTGTCGCTCTCTTTGTTTTTGCGCAGGCGTGACCCAGAAGACCCCGGTACCCTCCCCCCCTGTAAATGTCTTCTGACCCGAAGAGCAAAGCCCACGCCCTCGCCCTAAGCCCCCTCCCCGTCGGGGCTCCCGTGCAGAACCGGGACTTAGTCAGCGAATCTGCTGCGTTCACTCACGGAGGTTGTTGACCGCGGCCCTGGCCTGGATGTTCTCGTAGTGCTGCACGTGGACCCCGAGGTTGTCCTCGCGCTCCAGATGCTCCCCCGGGCACGGGCCTTGTTGGCGCATCACGCTCGCCAGCACCCTGCGGAGACAAGACGGGGCCGGTGATCGACGCTGTTGGAGGGAACCGCCGTTCGAGAGGAGGCGGGGCGCCCACGAACTGAGCTCGGCGAGGTTTTACGCGCTGTAACGAAGCATTCTGCGCACACGGGCTAGGCTAAGCCTGCAGATCTAGCTCCTGTAGTGATCTCGGTCCGTGGCATCATACTGTACATACGCCCGTGGCAAATGTATTATTTGAAATGACCTCCTTTAAAAAGAATACGTGAAGGCCTGGCATTGACCAACAATGGGAGCTGGCAGGCAGAACGCCTGCTCAGGGTGCTAGCGAGGCTTTGCTGCTAAAACTGAAAGTCTTCGTGACGCACGCTGCTCGGGGAAATGAGGGCTACAGAAGATGAGGGCGATCCGTCAGCCAGGAGCGCCGGCTGTGCGCCGGGATCCGGGGGGGAATTCTGCGGGACGTTTCTGTGATAGAGGGCTTTCCTCTCTCCAGCTGGGGGCCGCGGTGCCGCCAGATGTGGCCGCGGCGCTCTGTAGCTGGCGGCGCTCAAGCGTGTTGTGTCGGTAGGGCAGTCGTCAATAATATCAGACTTAAATACAATATGGTAGCATATTGCTGTTTTTTTTCTCTCTCTCTCTCTCGTTTAGAATCGCCCTATTAAAGGAGGCGATGAATGCGTTTCTCTTGGAAACGCACATGGGCGCAATAGCTTTTAACAGCACAGGCCTGCACTGCTCATTAATTCCGTGTGAATATGTTGAAAGGCCGAGTCTTAAACAAATAGTGTCCACGCTAGTTAAGAGATACAAAGATCAATCGCGTGTCTGTTCGATGAAGCAGAAAAAGATCCCCTCTGTGTTTAGTCTGGGAAGACTAATTGTGGTACCACTGCCTCAACACACCTGTGTCATCCTGTTTATACTGTACTGTATATACGGGGCAACTAAAAAGTTATCAAGAACTGATCACTTCCGTTCTTTTAAACAATCCAGACTGTCTCATTTTTCCCACGTTCTTCTCCATTTTAAGAGAAACCTCGAGCGGGACGCAGTTTCTGAGACCCGCGTCACGCGAACTTTGCGCTCGGCAACAGTTCATACCAAGCTTAAACACTAAAGCACATACTGTATATCCCAAAATACCTCCGCATCCCTGATCCAATTTACCCGTGATGTGCGGGGTCCGTAATGCTTTGATAACTGACAGGATTTCCGAGGTGGAAGACAGCCATTGCCGTATAGCTGTGTTATCTGCCTCTCTGGCACCGCTTTCATTTGCGTCAGGCTTTTCAAAGTCTGGATTAGTCGTTTGTAATTCTTTTTAAATCATTGTCTAGTTCAACAGGCGCAGAGGAGCCGCTATGAAAGAGTTAGTTTGTTAAAATTAAACATTTAAATCCAACAAATTGGCCCTTGATGGGAATGTGTTTGTCTGGCGTTAACATATGCGGGCTATATGTGGAAAGAACAGTAAAAGCTATAAAAATATACTGGATTATGTACACATTCATTCGATAGAGAGAATTGAAGAGCGTACCAAAAATACACATCACATATAAAATTCAATGTACGTACAAATAACGTACTGATTCGCGAAGGTCAGTGTAAAACACATGTACCACGGCTGTTTCGTCACCGGTCTTTTAAAGTTTCTTTCCTGGGGGGTGCTAGTGAGAGAACTACGCCCCCTCCCCCCGCTGACAGCAAGAGACAGAGGCAGGAGAGAGGAGGCGTTGTGTAATACTGAATATAGCCTCACTGCGAGACGAGGGATCCGTTAAAAATACTTCAGTAACGATTAACTAGTTCATAGCCCAAACAGCAATGCTTCGGAGAGGTGGGCGGCGTGAACGGAGCTCTGCAAGCGGGACGTGGTTTTAAAAAGTTAGGGCTGTATCCCTCAGTGGATCGAGACGCAGCACCGCATAAAAATCGAGTCGTTTTGGCTTTTGGCACCAAATCACGGCGCAATTCCAGTAGTTTCTGATCAGTGGCAACGCGCTCGCCTGCCGTCCCCGCTTTCCTGCCCGCGGAAAGAGGCAGAAAACCGATCAGACACAAGACGAGGGGTTTCGGAGTTCATGACCGGGCGCTGCCCCGGGTCCCGGTCGGGGGCTCCACTCACGCGCCGAGACCGCTGAGCGCATAAGCCATCGCGTGGGCGGCACGAAACGGATTATACTAATTCATTATTAATCCTATCTTATATTTTGTAATACATGTTCTATATTTAATGTTCAAAACTTAATGGAATCCTTTCCCACGGATGTTTTGAGCCTAAAACGTTCTAAATTCCGTATTTTCACGGTATTGATCCAGATACTGTACCTTACAGCTCGAGAAAATAATGAATAATGAATAAAACCGTCTTCTGTTTTACATTAATCTACAGTATTGGGGTCAGTTTGCAGCACTCGACGCCCGGAGCTGAATCCTTACTCAGCAACAGACGTGTACCGTACACTCGGTGCTCTGCCCGCGTGGCCGAACACACAAATACTGTACAGTCACTCCGGGATTTTGATGAGTTTGCAGTAATTGCTTGTGCACAAAACATTTCGTTGAGTTTCTTCCTCAATTCTTTTTTTTTTTTTTTCTTTTCGGATCCTATAGAAAGAAAGACTTGGCCACAAGAGGAGGCGGGGTGTAGCCTCTTTAACAAGTCCAGAGCGCCCTGTCCGTCCAGTCCACCCCCCTGACTGGGTGCAGTCACTCTCTCGCGCTTCCCCGGGTGGGGTCTCGCCTGTGCTGTCGGCTCTGGTGACGCAACTCTGACAAACACCCCTGACATACTGTCGACCCAGCTAAAGGGTCCAGCGAGCCGCCTGCGCAAATGCAGTCTTTTGAGATGAAAAAGCAACACAAAGGAACATAATAATAATAATAACAACAACAATGATATAGTTTATCATTTACTTAAAGTAAGAAGCAATGTTTTGTTGTCAAAATATCCAATTTCATTGAGATCCATGTCTTTGTTGAAGAATTCACCTTCGTGAATTAATCAATTAAATATTTTGGTGAATGAACGTGCCATAAGCTCAGGAATCTCAGGAAGATTATTATTATTATTAGCATCAAATATGTATCGTTTAACAATATGTACATAATTATGTACATAGGTATTGTGCTGAGTAAACCGTTGATCAGCATTGCTGGTGATGGCAGTTGTCAGTATGTACTGTATGTCTGCGAATGTGCTTACGTTAGAAATGAGTATGTAAGTGTGCACATGTGGCAGACATTGTGTGTAATGACATATGGCATTTGTGACATGAGCTCTATAGACCCAGCACGTGTGAAAAGAGTAAGAGGGAGAGAAAAAAATCTAAGATTTTCCCTGCTGATTTGCATTATAATGCAAGTCAAATGTGTGCATTTATATAGAAAGCAGTGTGCAGGACAGGTTTATAGAGAATATACAGTCGTGCCCGATACAAGTTTGCAAAAACAACGTTTTCATGGAGTAGGGAGTGTGGTTGTGTTAGGATTTTGTTCTGTTGTTAAAAACAACAACAACAACAACAACAAAAAAGATTTACAAACATTTTACGTTACTTTGTTTAGATTTCAGAAAAAGAAAAAACGACCAGGGTCTGTCTCTCGTTAGATACCTTGTTCCCGTCGCAGCATAGCTTCATAGTTAATGGCGCTGGCGTAGTCTCTGGACCAAGGCCTGCTCCTGCTGCGCGGGTTTAAAAAGAATCTCTGAGATCTCTGAAAGTCTTGGCTCTCCCACCCGCTCCTCTTCGGTACGCGCGAGATTGACTTAAGGAAAGGACTCGGATCGCGAGGACTGGGCTACCTGGGTTTTGTGTAGCGTGCTCAGTGCGCCAGCTCCACCTGTGCTTGTGATCTATAGATTGTGCTTTGCCACGCTGTTTAGATTCGAACATTAAACCCTTAAGAGCCTTCGGTGCGTCATCCCCCAATAACTCCATATATCCGACCTATTCAGCATGACATTTTTAAACGGGAAAATAGAAACTGAGTCGCAGAATGCTCTGTTTAAAACGCACGCTGTACATGCGAGTGTTGTTCTTCATTTTAAAAAAAGCCACTGGTTTAACGAGCTCACGTATGACACACTTTGTCTATACCGTCTGAATCGCGCACAACGAAGTCGTATTTTTAGTTCATTTTGAAAATGTCGCTGTTTTATGTTCCACTGTTCCAACAACAGCGCTAGTTGTCCGTGCGTGTGCGTCCTTTTTGGATGCGCGTGAATTAGCCAAGCAAACAAACAGCCTGCTTGTTCAAAACGAGACATCGTACAGAGACCGATTCGTGTTGGGGTTGTCTGTGGCCACTGAAAGCTGATGTCCTGTCTTGTCTTCCCGGACAACCTGTTGTGTCTGACCTAGATGCGCGTGAAAGGAATAGTGTGTGTGTGTGTACATGTACTGTATAGTGTATATTTGTAGACGGAAATTCGGCAGAACTGGAAAGCTGTGGCTAAGCTCATTTCATTTACTGGTTTCCAAACCGCGTAAGTTAAAAAAAAAAATAAAGCTTTGTTTCAGTATCCTATACACCGCAGGCTGCTTCCTAACCTGGGCCCAAGCTACAGTACCTTGTGCTCTCTGACGAGTACAGGTACAGTAGGTCTCACACCTCGCGCCGCTGGACGCCTGTTACACGCAGAGCGCTCGGGCGGCGGTAATTGAATGATCACTGCGCGTCTTTTGCAGCAGAAATACCCAACCTCTGCAGCATTTCATGAACCTGTTAACGCAGCGGAGAGAGAAAAAACAGGGTCCGTTGTGTGTGTGTGTGTGTGGGGGGGGTTCTGAAAGGGGGTGGAACGGAGCATCGCGTGCAGCTGTTTGTTTTGTTTTTTTGTTTTAATCATCGACCTCGTTCCACGCGGCGCGCGCGCGCGCCCCACGCAGCACCCCACGAGAGAGCCCGAGAGAGCCAGCCCCGCGAGCCGTGGGGGGGGGGGGGGGGCGCTGGAGTTTACCTGGACATGTTCTCCCGCTGGGGCCGGTGTGCCTTCTCCAGCCCGAGCTTGGTGAAAATCCCCACCAGGGCCATGATGGCCACCACTCCACAAATGATATAGACGATCAGGTTGGTTTTATCCCTCGTGGGGTCGTGCGCGGGGTCGTTCTTTTTGTACGGGGGTCGGCCGGTCATCATCCATAAGGGGGTGTCATAGTTCTTGCAGGTGCTCTGATCCAGCCGAGAGCTCTTCACCGTGCAGCAGAAGCGAAAGCCACAGGTCCCACAGCAGTACAGGTAGTCGTCCGTGTTGCAGACAAACGGCGGGTCCCACTGCCCCATCACGTCGAAGTAGCCCAGGCATTCCTCCTCCGTGTGCGGGGCGTCCGAGTCCCCGTCCCGGGACCCGTTCAGCCCCGACACCATGACAAAGCCGTGGAGCGCCTGGCCGGACTCCCCCTGCGCGCTGCACGCCAGCGCCAGAACTTTCACCAGAAAGTAACCCAGCATCAGCCCCGCGCTCTCCATCCTGTACTCCTGCCTGTCACGGCGAACGAAAGACGGCAAGGGGGACGTGAGCACGACCTGGTCTCACCAGAAGCCCAGACGCGTATCCACAAGCAGCAGGGCACAGCCATCCGCGACGATGAGCATTTTTACACGTATGTAGAATGTCGCCAAACGCAGCTCCGAGGCGCTGTCGGTTGGCGTGCTATCGAGATGTTGGCGGCGTGTTATAGTGACGAAGTCTCGGGGCTGCAGGTCCTACACATGCACGCACGCTATCTCTCTCTCTCTTTCTCTCTCTCTCTCTCTTTCTTTCTCTTTTTTTTTTTTTTGCTCAAGTGCCTCACGTGCTTGCTGTTCGCGCGGTCGGAGCTGCCTCGCTCTCCCCGCCGCTCTCCCGGAGCGCGCGCTCTCTCACGCAGCTCGCTTTGGACTCGGCGGCGCTCGAGCCGAGCGACACAGATCTGAGAGTGAGTGAGTGAGTGAATGAGAGAGAGAGAGAGAGAAACAGAACCTGGCGAGGGAGGGAGGGAGGGCAAAGGAGGGGGGTGGGGGGTGGCTTGGAAAAAGGGAACAACGTGCAATCTGTCTGTCCTGCAAGATCAGACTGCGCAACAGCTGAAAACCGACTAAACAATTCTCTCCCCCCGTCTGTTTCCCCCTCTTAATGGCTGTGATCATCTTCAAATCGGAGCCGCAGGGTCGCCACGGCCCACGTTGCCCGCCCACCTTACTTTCGGTCTCCACGCACACGTGTAGCGTGTCGGGGCATCGGGAGACGGGGTCTGCCTCCCCGTTCCCGCTCGCTCACCACCCCCACCCCCCCCCGCCGCGGTCGGGGGTCCGTGTGCGCGGCCGGTGCAGTCGGTGCAGAGCTCTGCTCCCATCGCGCAGAGGAGCCCGGAGCGCCCTGCCTGACGCGGCGCTCACCGCGGCGGAGAAGTTGCCGGACCTGCGGCCGGACAGCGGGTCTCTGGGTCTCCCAACCCGACGGCGCGGTGGGTGATTAACAGCGCTCGCCCACCAGGAGTCTCGGTGATCGCGTTTATAAACCACCTCCTGTAGTTCGGTCAATTGATTTATTACGGGCTCGGGTTAAAAATATTTTAGGAGACTTTCTGCTTGGTTTCTTTCTTTTTTTTTTTTTGCTGAGTACTTATCGAAAAACAAATCGACGCAAAACTGTGATAGGGATTCACAGATCAACAACATAATTTTATCAGTAATAATAATAACAACAACAACATTGCTTGAGGAAGTAGTCCACTCACCTGTGTTTGTGATTGTTTTAACTCTGCATTGCGCTACTATCTCTACACATCTGACAAAAGTAGAAATGACATAGTGCTGTGATAGTATATAATGATAGAAACCAAACATACATAAATGAGCTCTCTACTCTACCACTGCCTCCAGTTGTATCTTTGTGTGCCGGCGCTGGTTAATCGCTCTGGTTGATTCTATACTACTGACCACGGCCGCTCAACGTGTGCGAGGTGCTGACAAGCCCGTCTTCAGTTTTAAGTTGAAGAATGAACAGGAGATAATGCTGGTCTCCTGGCAAACAGATCGCGTTACTGCCGCCGTCATAATCTTAGCCCACAACGGCAGCTTTGGTACAAGAGGGTGCTAGCGGGAGTTTCCAATAAAAATCGAAAGGATCATGGATAAAGGTACAGAAGGAATCTTTTCCGGCGCTAAGCCGATTTCCAGAGATGCGCCGTGGCGGACGCACTGCACGGGAGAGCGCGGCCAGTCCGTGGAAGACCGGCCCGGAACAGGTTCACCGCTCGGCGTGGACTCGACGGTCCCAGGGTCAGAAAACAGGGCTAAGAGCTGGCTCCGTGCGTGGGACGATCAAGGCGAAAACCGATTTCACACACTAGTATATCGACTTCATGAACTAGGTTACACACACATCTGGTGTGCTTTAACGGATCACGTATTTACTTCGCGCTTTACAATGATGTATGATTTATAAAGGCAGAGGAACCCCAAAATGTGTTTTCTAAAATTTTTAGACCTTTTTTTTTGTTTTTTGTTTTTTCCTGTTTGTGCTAAAAGAAAATGAGTGCACCGAGCAGACCACCTGATGGAGACCAGACCAGCTCCCTCGGTCTCAAGAGAGGAGCACCGCAGACGCCCTGACAGGGTTCATTAAGCTTATAAATAACGACTTCATTCAGAACTTCGATCAATATGTATCTGTTTCTATTTGATCTCTTTTAAGGGTGACTCGATTCGATGAGAGTGGAAACAATCGACGCGAGTAACTAGATTATGCGAAATAACAGTTCCACACGACGAGTTGATTTTCGCAACTAGCGAAGCAGTACAGGAACGTGGCGACAGAGCATAAGCGAAAAATAAAGATGATTGAATTATCACTGCGTGCCTTCCTTTGCGTCTAATGTGTTTCAGCTGTGTACAGCAGGCTACGGAAAGACTTTGGAATAATTATAGCTACCTGTAACTGAGCCGCAGAATTTGTTATGTAAGTGGTGCTTTTAGCGAAACAGTCTCGAAACAGTCGACTTAGGGCGTCTTTCTGCATCGGGTAGTCCTGAGTGTTTCTCAGCAAGGTGAAATGAGAAGAAGCGACAGTCTGACTTCTGGAACGAGCTGTTCAAATGGCCTTTCTGTCGTCTTGGGTTTTTTTTTTCTTCTTCTAGTTTTCTGAAATTTAGGACGTGGCGGGGGGGGGTTGGTGGACAGAACGCGCGTGGCTGTCCCACGCAGGACGGCGGGGGAGTCCGGGGAGCGCCCAGGGCGCGGCTCGGTGCTTCCTCACGGCCCCAGGCTGCCGTGATCCAGCCCTCCCGTGTTTTAGAAGCCGGGTTAAAAGAAAGACAAAGCCGTGACTACAGCTTCGGGACACAGGTTGTCCTGACAATGGACTGATGTAGAGACTGGGGGACGCAGGTCAGCGTGCGGACAGTACCGGACAGTACACGGGCACAGGCTGTTCGGTCTCTGTCCATGGTGCTGAATCCCGCACTGCCCGCGCTCTGGCTTCGCCGACCCGCCTCTCACTGCCAGCTGTTTCCTGCCGATCTGTTTGTTGTTATTTGTCCAGTTCACTAGCACACCAACCAATTAACGTGGAAACGTGCACTGGAGCAGCTGCTGTCATCTGGGCTTTAATCTGGATGGCGGGCCCCGCTCAGCAAACCCGAATCAACGTCTTATTATTATTATTATTATTATTATCCGATAATAAGGGACCCTCTTTCCCTGCCCGTGTTGCCCACGACACGACTGTCGTGTCTAATGTCTTTTTACGGTATTGTAACGCAACGGGGGCTCAGGCGGGCGCCCTTGCCGCATTAGGTCGGCCCCCCACCGTTGGGGACTCGAACCCGGGACTCCCGCGTCTCTCTGCAGCGACCCAGCCCCGTGAGCTAAAGAGTGATCTCTCTACAGATCAGTAGCTGTGGTCCTGCTATCACAGGGAAGGGCGGGGACATCACCTGCTCTGGTACGCCGGCTCTTACACAGTGCCTGTTGGCCGTAAGCGTTACAGTATTTTATGGGAGGCCAAGGAAAGGAGGAACGCGCGCACTGCCAAACGCGGAAAGAAAAAGTGTTTGCTCTCTTTTCCAAAGATGACTGCGCTGCCACGCCGTGTTCAGAGACACCTTCCGTCTACATAAAAACCGAAAGGCTTCGATTCTGTTGCTTCTTCTTCTTCCCTTGCAATACCCAAGGAAGCCTTCGGACTGCGCACGGACTTGAATTCGTCTCTGACAAGACATCCCCACGAAGACAGAAAACACGCGCGAACAGACGCAGCTCCCCTATACAGTTCGGGTCACCGAACCTGTGCGTGTGCTCGGGTTTTTTTGTTGGTTTTTTTTTTCAGGGAGACTATTAATCAGACAGCCTTTGGAGCGTTCCTCTGAGCGCCTGCATTCCCAAGAAGGGCACTGCAACCACTTCACGTAATAACTTTCTGATACACGATTACCATGAAGCGCGCATTCCCCGCAGGTGGCTGCAATTAAACCTTAATTTCCACGCATAAGCAAAACGGGTTTTCCCCGTTAATAGACTCGGTAATTGTATGTTCGGTTTTGCGGAACGAAACCTTTTATTCAAAGACTCAGGAAAAGCCAGCCTTTTCCAGATTCGAGCTTTCCCGCATTGTCCGCTCCCCAGCTGTGAGGGAAGAGGGTTAATTTTAAACCGTGAGCCCGTGAACAGGCTCCATTCACGTCGGCCAAGTGCCCAACCATGCGGGATCCGGGGTTTTATTTATAGAATCACACACCCCTATTAAATGCTGTTGACTACACATCAGGTTCGTTTCAAAATCCCCGCAGTTGCACCGAAATGTCAATTATTTTTAATCAGTACCACAATAGATTTTCAACACTGGGGGGTAAACATTATAATTTTATTCTACTTCAGAGGCACAATCAACATATTCCTCGAGCTCATGGGATTAATGGATGCCGAACTCCCCATATGAGTAATCTGTACCTGCAGTCTTCAAAAATCGCATTCTGGCGAAGCCCATACCGCAACTGACGGTATTAAACCGAGTGTTCAAGGTTGATACACGGAGCTTATGCAAAAACATTTCGAGCAACTTATTAATATTTATCTGTTTTACACTTTCGTGTTTATGTTCATGTTTAATTGAAATAAACACTAAAACGTGTTTGTAATCTGTTGCAAACAATTTCTAATTGTTAGATTTGTGGTTTCACAGTGTCCACAATTATTGCATGTGTGTGTGTGTGTGGGGGGTGTTCTTTGCTAAACTGGCTTTTGTGAGCTGGACTGTCTGTGGTCTGAGCAGCGAGGTATTTTAACAAAAGGAAGAGTCTATTTTTAGTTGCATTGAGTCTTTACTGTGCTCCCTTTTCAGTGGAAGGCTGTGTGTGCGCTGAACTGGCATCTCCCTACTGTGATCATCGGCTCGGTCCCTGTCTTGTTTGCCACTTAAATTCCTTCTCCAGCTCCCCTTCCTTCTCCTTCTCTCTTTGCCCTGTAGACGATTCTCTCAGAACGAGGATCTGCCCCTGTTGCCCGACACGGAGGGTTGCCGTTTCTAGGCCATGTTGGTAGTGTGTCCATCTGCCTCGTTCCCTTGACAGCTGCTGTGTGGGTAGGCCCAGGCAAACGAGTCAAGACGAAGGGGGCAGAGAAAAGAGAGGAAGAAAGAAAGAACCACTGAACAGCTGTTGCGTTTTCCTCGTGGCTCCGTGAATGAGCACAGGGAAAGCAGCCGTGAGGGTCCGAGGATCTAAGGCCTGCAGAGGGCTCTCTGCTTCAACACCAGCACAGTGCAGGACGTCGACCCCTGAGGGCCACAGTGTCCTCAGGCATTCAGCCCTCTTGAGCTCTCGAGCTCTTATCTACCCAGGTGCACGGGTGCGATTCGCACATTGGCCAACGTCTTCTGCTGCTGCTCGTTGAACATGAGATGGGCTGCG